CAGCATCATCATCATCATCATCATCATCATCAGCATCATCATCATCAGCATCATCAGCATCATCAGCATCAGCATCATCATCACCAGCATCATCATCATCATCATCATCATCATCATCATCATCAGCATCCGCATCATCATCAGCACCATCAAAAGCAGCATCATCGTCATCATCAGCATCAGCATCATCATCATCAGCAGGATCATCATCATCAGTCTCAGCATCAGCATCATCAGCAGCAGCATCAGCATCAGCATCAGCATCAGCATCATCAGCATCATCATCAGCATCATCATCATCAGCATCATCATCAGCATCATCATCATCAGCATCATCATCACCATCACCATCACCATCAGCATCATCATCAGCAGCATCAGCATCATGGGCATCATCATCTTCATCAGCATCAGCCTCCTCAGACGCATCAGCATCATCATCAGCATCATCATCATCATCATCATCGTCATCATCACCATCGTCATCATCATCAAAAGCATCATCGTCATCATCAGCATCAGCATCCTCATTGTCCGCATAAACATCGTCATCAGCATCATCAGCATCAGCATCATAAGCATCAGCATCAGCATCAGCATCAGCATTATCAGCAGCAGCATCAGCAGCAAGAGCATCAGTAACATCAGGATCATCCGCATCCGCAACATTATCATCAGCAGCAGCATCATCAGCATCATCATCAGCCGCGTCAGCATCGTCATCATCAGCATCATCCTCGCCATCATCATCATCATCATCATCATCATCATCATCATCAGCATCATCATCGGAATCAGAATCATCAGCATCAGCATCAGCATCACCATCACGTTCATCTTCAGCATCGTCAGCATCATAATCATCATCAGCAGCATCGGCAGCATCAACTGCAGCCTCAGCATCGCAATCAGCATCAACAGCATCATCAGCATCGGCATCACCATCATCACCATCATCATCAGCATCATCTGCGTCATCACAGTCATTATCATCAGCACCAACATCAGCATCATCATCATCAGCAACATCTTCATCGGCAGCAGCTTCAGCATCAACATCATCAGTAGCAACAGTTTCATCATAACCAGCATCAGCATCAGAAACAGCATCAGCATCAGCAGCATCATCATCAGCATCCGCATCCTCATCATCATCCGCATCAGCATCAGCATCATCAATCTTCGTCATCAGCATCATGATCATCATCCTCAGCATCATCAGCAGTAGCGTCGTCATCAGCATCAGCATCCTAATCAGCATCACCAGCATCATAAGCATCAGCAGCATCATCCTCGTCAGCATCAGCATGTGCATCATCATCATCACCATCTGCATCACCAGCATCATCGGCATCATCAGCGGCATCACCATCCTCATCATCAGCATCATCAGCATCATCAGCATCGCCTCACCATCATCATCAGCATCATCATCGTCAGAATCATCATCATAATCGGATTCAGCAGCATCATCAACAACAGCATCAGCATCGTCAGCAGCATCGGTATCAGCAGTGTCAGCATCAGCAGCGTCATCGTCATCAGCAGCATAGGCATCAGCATGAGCAGCACCATCCTCATCATCATCGTCAGCAGCATCATCAGCATCAGCAGCAACATCGTCATCAGCATCATTATCATCAGCCGCATCATCATAATCATCAGCAGTCTCATCAGCATCGTCATAAGCATCACCATCAGCATCATCATTATCAGCGTCATCAGTATCATCATCATCCAACATCATAATCCTCATCATCAGCAGCAGCAGCATCACCATCATCACCATGATCAACGTCAGAATCATCATCAGCATCTTCATCTTCATCCTTATCCTCATCCTCCCTCTGCTCCGCCTCCTCATCCACTTCCGCCTTCCCTCCTCCTTCTCCTCAACTTCATCCTCTTCCTCCTCCTCCTCCTCCTTCTCCTCCTCCGCGTGTGGTCTTAACTTTAGTACTGGTATAAGTGTTAGTAGTGTGTTGAGTGTCAGTACTATTATTCGTGTACTCGCTATTGCTACTAGCACTAGTATTAATGATATGATTCGTCTTCGTTTTCTTAGTCTGTTTCTTCCTCCTCCTCCTCCTCCTCCTCCTCCTCCTCCTCCTCCTCCTCCGTTTCCTCTTCCTCGGCTTCCTCGCTTCTCCCCCATCGCCCGCGCCGATAGCCCTCGCCGACACCGCGGCGATGCACGGCGCCTGCTCCGCCGACGCCTCGCTGGCCGCCAGGTTCGCCCGCTCGAACGTCGCGTTGTGCCCGCCGCTGGGCGAGCCGTTCAGCAGGTCGAGGAAGGGCACCAGCCCGACGCCCTCGATCGACCTCCGAGCGGCCCACTACTCTACCTGCGGCTGGAACGGCACCAGCCACGAAGCCTCCCACAATATCTGGGGGTCGAGGGTGAGCAGAGGCAGGAGGAGGAGGAGGAGGAGGAGGAGGAAAAGGGGGTGGATGTAGAGGGAGGAGGGGTGGAGGTGGACGATGGGGAAGAGAGAGAGGAGGAGCATATGGAGTAGGACTAGGAGGGCGGGAAGGAGGGAGGAGGAGAGGGGGGCGGAGGGAGGAGCAGGAGGAGAGCAGGAGCAAGAGGAGGGGGAGGAGGAAGAGAAGGCGGCGAGAGGAGGAGCAGGAGGAGGGGGAGGCGGAGGGAGGAGGAAGGGAGGAGGGGAAGGGGGAGGGGGTAGGAGGACGAGGAAGGGCCGAGGGGGGGAGTAGGGGAGGAGAGGCGGAGGGGAGGGGAGCTGGCGGGTGACGGGGCAGCACCAGGCGGGGAGAGGCGGGCGAGGAGGAGGGCGGGGAGGTGCCGCAGCAGGAGAGGGAGTAGCAGGAACGGAGGGAGCAGCAGCACGGGGAAGGAGGATCATGAGAAAGAGGGGAGGCTCCTCCTCCTCCTCATCATCCTCCTCCTCCCTCCTCCTCCTCATCCCTCCCTCCTCCCCTCCCTCCCTCCCTCCCTCCTCCATCCTCCATCCTCCCTCATCCCAGCTCCCTCCTCCCTCCCTCCTCCCTCCTCCCTCCGCCTGGGAGATCGGCGGTTCAAAGATGGGCCATGAGGGATCCTGAGGGATGGGGCCCCGAGGACAGGACGTCGATCACAACTTGAACCTGCAGTGCCTGAGCTTCTCGTCATGAGAGCCCCGTCTTTGAGCCGCCGAGCCAGGGGAGTCGGCACAGATTGATGACGGGAAGTCACTGTGTGACGCAACCGCCGTCACGCTGGCACAACTAACTACACTGCGATGGCACCTTCTGCCCCCACGCGTCAGCCCTCGCTTGGCACGTTGAAGGCTCCCGGAAGCCCGAAACAGGCCAGAGACGCGAAAGACAATTTGATCCTGAACCGTCGGTCCTCGAACCTCGACGCCCAAACCTAGATCCTCAACCCTCAACGACGCTGACGCCGACGCCGACGACGACGACGTTCCAAGCTGCCAGGAGACCTCGTTGACAAGAGGCCCAGGGCGCGCAGGACCGCCTCGCGCGCCCCGGCGGCGTCAGCGGCGCCGAGGAGGTCCGGGAGTTCATGCAGCGGCCCGCTTTCCCAGGCCTTCGACGTCGTCGTCGTCGTCCGCGGCAGTCTGCCCGTGAGTCGGTCAGTTTGGTCGTCGTCGTCGTCGTCGTCGTCGTCGTCGTCGTCGTCGTCGTCGTCGTCGCTTTGGTCGCCAGCAACGATGAAGTTGACGACTCGTCACCCTCGTCGTCGCCACCTCAGCCGTCGTCGCCGACGACCTCGTCAATCTGATCGTCATGCTGACGCCGATGTTGCTGATGATGCTCCTCCTTTCCTGATCATTCCACCTCCTCCACCTCCTTCGCCGCCTCCGTCTCTTCGTCATTCCTATCAGCGGCCGCCTCATCCACCTTCTCCTCCTCCTCCTCCTCCTCCTCCTCCTCCTCCTCCTCCTCCTCATCCTCCTCCTCCTCCTCCTCCTCCTCCTCCTCCTCCTCCGTCCCTCTTCGTAAACACAACACCGGACGTGTCTGTAGGCCAGTCTGGGCGGTTTGCGTGAGACCTCCGTCAGCTCCACGCATGAATGGCCGGTGTCTTTTTCACGAAGCTCTCGCCGTGGCGCCGCGCACATTCGCTTTGCCAGTAACAGTTGCCAAGATCTAATCGGAGGGCCGGCGGTTTTCAATACGCGGCTGCAGCCTCAGCTCCGCGCACACTCGTACTGCACCAAAAAAGGTTGCAAGGGCAGACATAATTTGCTGTTCTCGCCTTAGCGGCTCGCACACGAACTGTTGAAAGAAAGGTCAAGGTGCAACGATGGGGGTCGGGGTTGACCGAACATTGGGCTGGGGTCGCCGCCGCAGGATGCAGCCGTTGCCTGCCCGCGGTAGCCACCAATTCCTGCGCGGGTGGGTGGCTGGTGCAGTCTATGGCGCGTCGGCGAATTGCACGCGCCGAAGAAACCTGCCGACGGGAGGCTCGTCGTCGTCGAGGGGCGTGGGCGCCGGGCAGGGCGTCGGCCAAGTGCACCCGTCGCGGGGACTGTCGGGAGCGGCGTTGGCGTTGGAGAGGGCCGGGCGAGGCATCATGTGTGGGGTCGCGTGCGTCAGGTCGGCCGCTGGGTGGTCCAGCGCCTGGAGGTCCGCCTCTGCCTCGCGAATAGTATGCAGCTGCTGCTGCTGGGCCAGATTGGCACGTCGGCGCTCGTCGTGGAGACGCTGGATCTGGGAGTGGCTCGGCCTGTCCGTATGACCGCTTCGCTTCCCCCGGGTATGCCCCCAACGGGCTCCCTGTCAAGGCATGCGGCCACTCGGGATGTCGAGCCGTCTGCGGGGGAGGCGGCGCCCGCCGTGGGCTGTCCAGCGGCCACTATGGCCGCTTCCCTGGGCATGCCCCCCACGGGTTAACGGTCAGGGCGCGCGGCCACGCAGGGTTCGCCTGGTGGGTCGCGGGGTCTGTTGCGGGGGCCGTGGGGCAGTCGCAGGGGCGTTCGGGTCGTGGGGCAGTCGGGAAAGTCAGGTGTGGTGCTACAGGGGGTGGCTTCGGCTGGCCCTATGACCGCTTCCCCGGGAATGCCCCCCACGGGCTCCCTCTCAGGGCATGCGGCCACTCGGGATGTCGAGCCGGCCGCGGGGAAGGCGGCGCCCGCCGTGGGCTGTCCAGCGGCCACTTTGGCCGCTTCTCCGGGTATGCCCCCCGCGGGCTCCCTCTCAGGGCGCGCGGCCACTCAGGGTTCGGCTGGTGGATCGTGGGGTCTGCTGCGGGGGCCTTGAGGTAGGGAGTCGTGGGGGTAGGCGTAGTAAGGGCACGCCGGGATAAAGGGCGGCAGGCAGGAAACCCGGGAAAACCCATCATCGCGGCAGTGGGCGTTGCGGTCGATGGCCCTCTAGCAGGGTGGCACGCCCGTGACAAAGATGGCCGCATCCCTCCTCATGACGGAAGGCGGCCTGTCAGCCTGGGCGTAGGGTCTGGGGGTGAGGCTGGCCATGGGCTTGGACGTACGGGTGGGCGTCGGGGTGGGGATACCGTCCCAAACATGCGACGTCCTGATTATTTCAGGACGGCGTCCCTGGAAGCCCCGACCCTTTCCCCAGAACCCGTTTTTCGTCCTGAGTCGTTTTTTGACGGTCTCGAGGCCCAGCGAGGGCCCCCAAGGGCCGAAAACGGCAAAAACCTCGAGCCGTGATTTTTGTTAACGGCGCGATCATGTCTGGATTTTGGTGGCGGGAGAGAGCGCCGCAGTCAACGTCGGCGTCCTCCTGCTCACTCCATCCCTCCCCGTACTTGGGGTCATCGAGATCGTCGAAGTCTCCTCCGCCTCCTCCGCCTCCTCCTCCTCCTCCTCCTCCTCCTCCTCCTCCTCCTCCTCTCCTCCTCCTCCTCCTCCGCCTCCTCCTACTCCTCCTCCTCCTCATGACCATCATCACCATCATCAGCAGCAGCATCATCAGCAGCATCATCATCTTTATCAGTATCACCATCACCATCACCATCATCACCATCATCAGCATCATCATCACCATCACCATCACCACCACCATCAGCCTCATCATCGTCATCACCATCATCATCACCACCACCATCATCAGTAGCATCATTATCATCATCAGCGTCATCATCAGAATCCTCATCATCATCCTCATCCTCCACCTCCTCCTCCCCTTCTCCTCATCCTCATTCTCCTCGTGTATAAGAAGGTAAGACTGTACAAGCACAGACCGTCGAAGGCCCACGCGGACTTCTTGGATCCTCGCTGACCCCACCCACCGCCTCAAGATATCCGCGCGGACCTACACAAGTGTATGTCTGATGCAGTGGTTAAGAATCGATCCTCCCCCTTCTCCTCTCGGCAGCGCGCCGAGGGGGAAGTGAGAGGGGGCAGACCTTCTCAGACGGCGGCCGGGCTTCTCAGACGCCCGCCAGCCCTCCGAGAAGCCGTCTCTGTCTTCGGAGACGGCTCGGAAAGCTTCTCGGAAGGCCGGCGGACTTCCAAGCCTTCAGGCCGAGGGGGAAGAGGAGGAGGAGGAGGAAGAGAAGGAGGAGGAGGAGGAGGAGGAGGACCAGTGTAAAACCCAAGAGGCATCAACGATGTTGGAAAAAACCCTCCCTCCAAGCTCCCTCTTCATAGGGCCCTACAACGGTTCATTTCCATTGAAAGAACTGCCTCTTTGGAAGACAACCGTTTGAAGACTCTGAAGCATGCCAAAACGTTGTTCTCGGATTACAACGCCACGGATCAATCTGACTGTTGCGTCGTGACAACCCTGAATCGTGCCAGAACACCATTCGTGTGACTTCAACACAGCGAATCAGCATAACTGTTGCACCAGCATTATCCTTAATCCTTTCGAAACACCATCTCTGGCACGTTGATGATGGAAATCCGTGCAACTCTTCCAAATGTTTAAAACGAATGTGCGCCGCGCTGAAGCGAGAGCCACATTTTGAAAAGGAACCGCCCTCAATCCGCGAAACTCTTGCGAATTGCTAAAAGGAATTTACGCCGCGCTAGGGCCACAGCCACATGTTCGAAACGACCCGCCCTCAATCCGTGAAACTCTTGCAAATCCGCCGACCCTGTCGGCGTGTGGAATGGGTTGTTCTTCTCGTCCGTGCCTCCTTCCTTTTCCCACCTTCTCCGTCTCCTTCTCGTTCGTCCCCCCGGCCTCCTCCTCCTCCTCCTCCTCCTCCTCCTCCTTCATCTCTTCCTCCTGCGTAAAGTAAATTGACTCGAAGGGTTTCCCCTTCCCTTTGTTCCCTTCCCCGGCCAAGGGGGGGGGGGTCCCGGGGGAAGCCCAGGGGGGGTCCCGGGGGGGTC